CAATCTTAAACCGGCATTTTTTTTCTTCATTCGTATAAGTAAATAAGCTTAATTAACTCTTAATAAACATCAAAAGCTTTTTTCACCTGGATATAAGCTTATGTTTAACCTAAACCTTCAGTCCTTTACGCAAGCTTTCCCTCGATACTTAAGCTTATTTGCTAAAAAAACTAACTATAAGTTATATTAAGCTGCATATCATGTCATCTTATAGTTTTCTTACCTGACGTTTTTCTCCTTTTCCTTTCAGTACAATCTTTCTCCTTTTCCAATTCTGATAATTTTTCTCGCCAGTCTCTTTTTTTCTGACGCTCACGTTCTCTAGTTTCCTCTGTAAACTTCTCTCTAGAAACCCTTTTTCTTTGACGTTCAGATTCTCGGTTTTCTTCAGTAAAATTCTCCCTCAATAACCGTTGTCTTTGACGTTCACTCTCTCGATTTTCTTCAGTAAAATTCTCCCTCAATAACCGTTGTCTTTGACGTTCACTCTCTCGATTTTCTTCAGTAAAATTCTCCCTCAATAACCGTTGTCTTTGACGTTCACTCTCTCGATTTTCTTCAGTAAAATTCTCCCTCAATAACCGTTGTCTTTGACGTTCACTCTCTCGATTTTCTTCAGTAAAATTCTCCCTCAATAACCGTTGTCTTTGACGTTCACTCTCTCGATTTTCTTCAGTAAAATTCTCCCTCAATAACCGTTGTCTTTGACGTTCACTCTCTCGATTTTCTTCAGTAAAATTCTCCCTCAATAACCGTTGTCTTTGACGTTCACTCTCTCGATTTTCTTCAGTAAAATTCTCCCTCAATAACCGTTGTCTTTGACGTTCACTCTCTCGATTTTCTTCAGTAAAATTCTCCCTCAATAACCGTTGTCTTTGACGTTCACTCTCTCGATTTTCTTCAGTAAAATTCTCCCTCAATAACCGTTGTCTTTGACGTTCACTCTCTCGATTTTCTTCAGTAAAATTCTCCCTCAATAACCGTTGTCTTTGACGTTCACTCTCTCGATTTTCTTCAGTAAAATTCTCCCTCAATAACCGTTGTCTTTGACGTTCACTCTCTCGATTTTCTTCAGTAAAATTCTCCCTCAATAACCGTTGTCTTTGACGTTCACTCTCTCGATTTTCTTCAGTAAAATTCTCCCTCAATAACCGTTGTCTTTGACGTTCACTCTCTCGATTTTCTTCAGTAAAATTCTCCCTCAATAACCGTTGTCTTTGACGTTCACTCTCTCGATTTTCTTCAGTAAAATTCTCCCTCAATAACCGTTGTCTTTGACGTTCACTCTCTCGATTTTCTTCAGTAAAATTCTCCCTCAATAACCGTTGTCTTTGACGTTCACTCTCTCGATTTTCTTCAGTAAAATTCTCCCTCAATAACCGTTGTCTTTGACGTTCACTCTCTCGATTTTCTTCAGTAAAATTCTCCCTCAATAACCGTTGTCTTTGACGTTCACTCTCTCGATTTTCTTCAGTAAAATTCTCCCTCAATAACCGTTGTCTTTGACGTTCACTCTCTCGATTTTCTTCAGTAAAATTCTCCCTCAATAACCGTTGTCTTTGACGTTCACTCTCTCGA